ATTAACTCATTTACTCTCAGCAACAATTCAACAAAGTATGTATCACTAAAAAATATTTTTAAGTAGTTGTCACTGATATCTATATTTTACAGATGATAGAAATAGGTTGCAGAGAAGTAAATATCAGGAACTTTCCACCATACATTATAAATAAAGTTTTGTTGGAACACAACCTACTCCCATTCAGTTAAGAGTGTCTATATCTTCCTACATGCTAAAATGGCAAAATCAACTGCAAAGCCTAAAATATTTACTATGTGGCCCTTTGACAGAAAAACTTTCTGACCTGTGACCAAGACCATACAGTTTGTTAGTAACAGAATAAGGACTTAAACCTGACTCTTTGACTGTACTGTCCATCCTCTTAATCATTTTACTATACTCCCTTACTGTTATCCTTCTACCCTTAAATCACCCTCTGAGGTTATGCTGTTAAGAACTTCACCTGCTTCTTTCTACACCTTTTTCCTTGCTTATACAAATGTGCACAATTATCTGTGAATACACACACACACACACACACACACACACAAACACACATACACACATGCACACACTTATTCATGCCTAAATGAAAGTTATCTAACACATGCATTTTTTTTTCTCTAATGGATATCACAGGAATTTAGGAATCAGTCAGCATTTCCTTATGCTTGGGGCCATTTTAAATAGCAAAATCATAAAAGGAAGCCCAAAAGAGGTAAATAATTGGGCACTAAATAGACTAAAAAAAGTACACATGTTTACAGTATGATAGCTGAACTGAGAAGAATGAGAGTGGCTTTATTTCAGCTATCATACTGTAAACATGGAAACATGAGCTTCAGATGACAAATTTGTTGCTGCCCTATGCATATCTGTAAATGATTGCAAAAATGAAAAATTGTTGGTTCTGGATTTACAAATAAATTGTAGTGAGTAAGAAAGTACACAAATGTGCAACCTACTAATAACAAGAATCGAACCCAGTGCCTCACACATGCCAGGCAAGTGCACCTCTGCTGACCACAGCCCCAGCTCCTTTTTTCCCCCTTTTGAGATGTTGGGGATTGAACCTCCCACATTAGGCAGTGCTCTAGCACTGACTACATAAGATAATGCAACATATTTCCATTTATTACCTTTAAATGTATCAAATTTGAAGTAAAAAAAAATCTTTTTATCCTAGCTGTGATAATAGTATAGTTGGTGGGATGAGTATATTTAAAAATACTAATGTTTTTCACCTTATTTTTTTCTAGGAAACAGTTTTTCCATCCCAAATCACTAATGAGCATGAGTCACTGATAATGGTGAAGAAACTTTTTGCTACTTCTATTTCATGCATAACATACCTAAGGGGCCTGTTCCCAGAGAGTTCTTATGGAGAACGCCATTTGGATGGTAAAAATTAATTAAAATGGTTGCTTTGGTTGTTATAGCCATTTTCTCTATTTAGCAAGAGTAAATTCATTTCTCACAATGTACTAATTGCAACTCATGGGTCTACAAGACTAAGTTGCTAATCCATTTTCCATTTTAATTTCACTATTTTAGTGGTTTTTCTTAAAAGAAACATTAACTTCTGACAAGTTACAAGTGAAAAAAATATATCTGTATGGACAAGCGTAGTAGTATTTCTAAGCTAT